TATACACGTGTAATGCAAAAGTTTTGTATACCTTTCCGGATTCCGCTGACTTAACGTAAAGGTACTACTTTACATTGCAATGGCACTGAGCCAAAGCTGCTGGAGCCGTTCAGAAAACAAAGGCATTTTCCCGCTCGTATTCTTGGCAATACAATTAGAAATGAACACGACAATAGTTCCCAAATCGTACCAGCAATAAACTGTTGCACCAGATCATAGATTCTGTAAGCTGCCTTGAAGAAAGCAGGTGAAAAAAAAGCGAAACCGCAAACAAGAAACATCTCCTAAAAATAGAGTATCGTCATACTTTTATCACTAATGATTTTTTAGTGCTGTAACTGTTTTTGAAATATATTTAGCTGCATTGAACGAATTGCAGCTTCCCAAAACAGGAAAAAATTGCGCGAATTTTATGTTTATACCGATGTGATATTTTGCATTCGCCATCCAGCTGGGTTTTTGTATCCTTCGCGGTGTATGATCCTTCTTTTTTTCAACATACTAAACTTTTACACCTTTTTCAAGTGAAGATCCTTTTTTTTCGTGTTTGATCCCTTTTTGTATCACTGCCTTTCTATCAGATTGTTCTCCTTTTTGCTTCTGTCCATTTAATTATTTATCTGTTTTTGTGGCTTAATAGAGTACGATGCAGAAGTCACAACCTATGTAATTCATTGTCCAGTCGTACATCGCAGAAAGCAAGTCCCGAAACCTCTTTTCTGTTTCTCGAGTTCTGACACTTTCCTTGTCGGCCCACTGATAGACTTCTAGTCCCCTAGCTTTCGTTTCTTTCTGCGAAACTTTTGTCGATCTGTTATTGCTCCAAAGCATTCATTTCTCTGCGGGCCTCCTCTTTTGCATTTAAAGAGTGGTAATATCGAGTGGCTGAGAAACACGAGTCAAAACTGTAAAAGTACATTAGCAGAGGTGGTAACAGAAGTTTTATTTTAAAAAAAAAACGCTGCAGGTGGAAATAGTTTAGAAGACATTTAACTTATAGTGCTTCACACTCTAAAATTTAGAACTCATAAAGCGACAGGTTCACGGTGAGTTTCATTTGCTGCTGGGTATTATAAGTTTTTTAGTTTACATTTGATAGTTCTGTGCATCTTTAATTCTCAGGCCGTCGGAGGATTTTAATTTAGCTATAGTGACGTGAGTATGCTTTTGTTTAAACGACCTGTTCGCTTTCTTATAATTGTTTTCCAGTTAGATCATAAGAATAGTTTTATTTTAGGCTTCTCTTTTGGGCACTGCAACCCTCGAGTTATTTCAGTTAAGAATAGGTTGTATGCGCAGTTTGCTTAATGTTACTCGGCTGGGTCACGTTTTCTTTTCCGGATCTGTAAGAACAGCACGACTTTGCCGCAAAGGATTGAGAATGACAAAAATGGTAGGGACCACAGCTCACATTGCAAATCCAGAATGGAAACTGGGAGAAAGGTATGATACTAAGTTTTCTGCGAAATGAATGAGAAGCGAAGGTGAAGTTTCTAATCAGCAGAGGTTAAAGCTGAGTAGTTTTGTCGTTTTTTATAAAAAAATATCGACGTTGTTATGATAAAAGAACTTATTTTAAGAGTTCCTTACATAAGCTTGGCTAAAACCTTCGAGGCGATAGAATCAACGTCGTCAAGGTATATATTTATGAATTTATATTGTTGTATTAGTTAGTTTTGACGTGTAAAATTTTAGACTTGGTTTGCAGGTTGGAAATTATCAAAATATTGTGCGATTTTTTCACAAAAGTTCTGGAGAAGTCTCCAGAGGATTTGGCAGCTTGCGTTTATTTGTGTGTAAACCAGATTGGCCCTGCTTACGAAGGAATAGAATTAGGTGTAGCCGAGGGAACCTTAATCAAAGCTGTAGCACAGGCAACTGGAAGAAAGGTTTCATTTTAATTGTCGTAACGTTTTCAGGACGATGTTTACTAGGAACATTCCAATCTTTAGGTTGAAAAAATAAAGGAACAGATTAGTGTGAAGGGCGACTTGGGTATTGTTGCGCAACAGAGCCGTTGTACTCAGAGTATGCTTTTTGCACCGAAGTCTTTGACTGTGGTTGGGGTTTTCGACAAGCTTAAGGAAATTGCGAAGGCATCTGGTCAATCGGTAATAAGCTGTCAGCTATTAATTATAATTTTCGCTAGTACATGATGTGACTGTTTACAATTAATGTGTGAAGTTTTACTTGAAAAGGAAGCCGTTTCAGTCGATGAATAAGAAATTGAGCCTGATACAGACTTTACTGGTAGCCTGTAAAGACTGCGAAGCACGTTATTTGGTTCGTTGTCTAGGAGGAAAATTGAGGATTGGACTGGCGGAACAGTCCGTTTTAGTTGCACTGGCAAATGCCTTTACAATAACGGAAAGTGAGAAAAAAGGTATTTTTTACACCTTAAATCGTTTTCAATGCTTGAAAATTGTTTTTAATTTGTTAATGTTCACGAAGAGTTGTTTAGGAGAACGTCTAAATCCTGAGAAGCTTAAGGAGCGTCAAGCTTCTGATGCGCTTTTATTGAAAACAACGTACAGGTAAGTAGTATTTTAAACTTTTTTGAATTTTTTCGGATGCTTAATTAGTGTTTCTTCTTTGGGAGGTGCTAGGTGAATAGCTGTTAAAGAGGTAAGTTTAGTGCATGTCCAAACTACGACAAAATCATATCAACTGCGCTAACAAAAGGTGGCATAGCCGCTTTGCCTGAATATTGCAAACTCACCCCAGGTAGCTTCAGGTTGATATTGAAAAGTTTAACTTTTAAGATTTTACTTTTCTGTAAACTTCTTTTTAAACACATTTCTCTGTTATTTTTTTGATACTAAAGCTTTATGGTTTAAATAAGCTTCTTAGGAATACCGTTGAAGCCCATGTTAGCACATCCAACAAAAGGGATCGCTGAAGTGATGAAACGGTTTGGAGATGCTCAGTTCGCCTGCGAATTTAAATACGACGGTGAAAGAGGCCAAGTATGAATAAATTTTTATTTATTTCTGAAGATTTCTGGGTTTCACACCTGTATTGCATATTACTGTCAAAATCTTCATCTTCTAATAGTTCCCAAGCTTAGATTCATTACGGTGCCTTTGGAGCGAAAATATTTAGTAGGAATCAAGAAGACAACACAGAAAAATATCCCGATATTACTGAAAAGATATCAAGATGTATAGACGAGGAAACAGTTAGTTTTATCGCTGACAGCGAGATTGTCGCTTGGGATCCTCAGCAAAAAACGATTTTGCCTTTTCAGGTCCTTTCTACTCGTAAGCGAAAGGTTTGTTGTGGTACCGGTTTGTTCACTCGAGTTCTTTAGCTTTTAAAGGTTTTGAGTTCCAGTTGTTCTTATCTTTTTAGAATGCTGGCGACACTGAAATCAAAGTGAAGGTCTTTATCTTTCTGTTTGACCTTCTTTGTTGGAATGGCACGTCTCTTGTGCAAGACCCATTTAGGAAACGGAGGGAAATGTTGAAAAATCACTTCAAAGTAAGTTCATTTTGGTGTTCTAGGGTATTAGGTTTCTACACAAGTGTTCTTCAGTTTTTATATCTGAAATTTCATGCCTTCATTTATTTCAGGCTTCTTATGATTCGTCTCCTATAATTTGCTGGGTAAATATGCTAATTTAAAATGAATTTTTTAAGCCTGTGGATGGGTTCTGCTCTTTTGCCTCAGCCAGAGATACAGGTGACACTGATGAAATAGCAGAATTCCTTGAGGAAGCAATAAAGGGCAACTGTGAGGGCCTCATGCTTAAAACCCTGGACACTGATGCCACCTACGAAATCGCTAAACGTTCACATAATTGGTTAAAGGTTGTTTTTGACTACTGCTATCTTTTAATTGTTTTTAGGCTCATTTTTAGATTTTCATGGCGTAGTTTTTCAGTTGAAGAAGGATTATCTTGACAGTATTGGCGACACCCTTGACCTTGTCGTAATTGGAGGTTATTTAGGAACTGGCAAAAGAACGGGGGTTTATGGTGGTTATTTGTTAGCTTGCTATGAGCCTGATTCTGAGGAGTATCAGTCTATTTGCAAGTTAAGATTTTTAAGAAAAAAAAGAATGTAGAAGAACTGGCCAAATTATTTAAATTTCTCGCCGACTATTTACTTCCAGTTCTATTCAAAAGTTGTTTCTTTTTTCGAGGGGTTTAATTTTAGATCGGGACTGGACTGAAAGAGGATGAACTGTCATCTCAGTTTGAGCAGTTTAAACCGCTACGGATTGACAAAGTACATTCCTTTTTCCATTGAAAGAAACTGAAGTTTTTGTTTGAAGGCACTTTAAGGAAGTTATCTGGAAGTCTTTCATGTTCGTTGTGTTTCAGCCACGACCTTATTATTCCTATGATAGTTCTTTGGCTCCTGATCATTGGTTTGCACCTGAGGTGGTTTGGGAAATAAAAGCGGCAGATCTTTCTATATCACCGAAGCATCATGCTGCACGAGGAATTGTTGATGATGAGAAAGGAATATCGCTGAGGTTTCCAAGGTATATACGCATTCGGGAAGATAAAAAACCAGAAGACGCCACAACTGCTGAACAGGTAGCAGAGATGTACAGAAGCCAAGAACAGATAAAAAATACCACAAATAATTTGCCGGAAGATGAGACAGAGGATTACTAAGTCTCTTCACACATGTACCTGGCTTCAATTTATATTATAAATATTTTTTATTTATTTGCCTTTTCGGTTGCCAAAGGTCATTTTTCTCCTTACATTGCTGGTTTTCACCTGAAGGAGCCTTCTCGTTTCACTTTTACGAGACAAATAGTTTGGCCATTTATTACCTTGCTTGTTTACTTTAAACAATTGCAATTTGGATAATGGACTGATAAATTAAGGAAATGTAATCTTGAATTGTTCCTCTGCCTAAATAGTTTTGTAGTTAGGTCTTGTGCTTACCGACTAGTTGACTGTTCATTGTTACGGATGCCGAATTTTGTCGTGATTGATAGCATTTCTGCTTGTGAATATGTTGGTCTGCAGGGTGCTCAGAAGTTACTACTAGGGAGGGCCGGCGGGGAGGCATTTTGTGACTTCCAGCCGTGTTTTTTGGGATTATCTGTTTGATGGCCTAGTTGGTCAGTCGAGTCGTTTGTTGTGAAGAAACTCATTTGGCAGCAGAAAGCTTGTGCTAGGCCGAAATGGCAGTGGTTGATGTAATCCATATTTATACTATTTTTGCTACGCTTCAGTAATTATTAGCAGGTTGGTGAGGCCGGTACAACAAAAGTGAACCCTCTTTTGCGGTCCTAAGAAAGAGATGATAAAGTTTTGGTTTGAAGTTTCCTGAATTAATACACGGACATAGGTCATCACGATTTAATTGGCAGATGTCTGGCAAGACGGGACAGCAGTCGTCTTCGGAGTCCTAGTGACTTTTGAGGTATTAGTGTCTTTTACGGCACACTTCGTTTTCATCGTTTTGTGTGAAAGGCATCAGACGGATGTCAAGGTTCTTGATTAAGTGGGGAATTTTGTAACATAATAGTGGCTCGTTCACCCGTAGGGAGCTCAGAGTGGAGAAGATGAGACTCGGAACATATAAAGAGCGAGAGTAGGTTTCTGGAGAAGGCTCTGAGGACTTGCGTGGGGATCTTTTGAGGATCTTTTGACTTGTTTACATTGTATTCACTGATTTTTTAGCATTGAAGCGTATAGGGGGGAAGCATCTTCAAGGGCTTGTTACTGTCTTATTCATCTTGACCCTCGTAGTGGGGCGCGTAGCGAGGAAGCAACTTCACCGCGGGAAACAAAAGGACTTTACTTACAGTAATGCGTGCTAGAACAATCACGAGTCGGGAAATTTTTGCTGTAATAAGCAGGGATGGCACGACTTGAGGGCACAAGGATAACACTGGTATGTGATGGTAACGCGGTTGAGGTCATTGAAAGCAGAGCTCAGTTTTGCTTCGGGGGAACCACATTATATTCTGCAATCTGTCCGGGGGACAAGTGCGAGGATTGTTCCTAAGATTCAAATAAGCAAAGGCGAGAGTTAACTGGGGAAAAGCACCGATTTTTTGGCTATGACATTAATAATGCATTATCTTCTCTAGTTTTGGTTTCTGGTCTTTCATTATCAGTGTTACCTCTAATGTTGTTTCCGGTTTCAAAAGAGGAAACTGGTCTGGGTTGTGTCGTTCTGTAAAATATAAATAAAAGTTTTTTTTTGGATTTCAGGAACCACACGTTTGGAATGAGACGGAAAATATTTCCAGGACGTAATTTTGCAGAGTAACGTTTTTCCTCATCATAATTAAGATGGGCAGGATTCATGAACGCACCGTGGAAGTTGTTATCGGCACATTGGTTAGAAAGCATGAATGAAGTCGTCTCCCGCTGGCAAAATTTGTAACTACATCAAGTACCTATGTAGGCCACAACTGACACCTGAAAACGTTTGAGCACTAACAAGTTAGACACTAGGTAGATATCGTTGAAGGTGGGATTTGGCCTACAATAGTGCAGAGCATCCAGACACTCAAATAGTTTATTTCCTTCTGAATTAAGTTTTAAATACAACACGATTATATTGTTGACGCAGTCGCCTTTAATGGTTAAAGCGCAATATATACTTCCGCAGATTTGACTGTATTTTAGAAGCAACACAGGGAATACTTTAAGTGGGGACATAATTATTTGAGTCTCAATCTTGCGCGGCAAAAAGAAAACAACAGTTTAAAGTGATAGTAGCAATAGCGATAATAATAAGAATATTGGAACTAAGCAAGAAAAAAGATGTTCAACAAATGAGACTGCAATGCGGGACAAAATTTACCACGACTAACCCTGTTGCGGCAGTAATTCCAGTTAATTTAAAACAATTAAATTGATCCTAACCTTTCAAATTAAGGGCTTACAAAACCAGAGATGAATAAATAACCTGCCTTAGTTCAGCCGTTTGAATGCAGTAACACTGTTTAACAGTAACAAAAAAACTTAATAAATGGAGTCTGATCAGTCACAGAAAAAGAATAAGAACGAGCATTTCTTCTTTTGACCAACATTCTTTGTTTGTAACTCAACTTTTTTAACAGCTACCTCATGTAAACCAGAGTGAATATTCTGCATAACAACGGTGTTATTCTCATAATAATCTATGACTTCTTTTAGCTTCTTGGCCACATTGTTTGCAAGCACACGTAACCGATCCATATGTGCTACAGCTGCCAAATCTTCAGCCAAATTTAGGACATCCAAAAACAGTTTCTCGAGATTGTGAAGCCGTTTACGAGCTATTAGCAACATACTCCATTGCTCTATTGCTTTTGCCCGATTCGTTTCTTTTTCAGCTTCATAGATTTCAATTTTTTCTCTTATAGCATTGGTTTTCTCATCGATCTCGTTTAACGCTAATGCCTTTTTCAGTACTGCGTCTCGCACCTTGAAAAATACCATAAATCTTTTAACTGTTTACTGGAGAAATAAATGTAGTAAAAAGGGTCCTGCAAAAAGTAAACACAGTTACCGATTGTGATTCGTTGTGCAGTTGTGCAAGATCATTTTTCGGCAACCACCAAACCTTTTCGTTAATCTCATTCAAGTTATTTTCTATCTCTCTGAACGCTTTGTGAGCCTAAAAAGTTTTTAACCATACGCTGATACGATAGCCGACAAAACAATGTTGCTGAAAAAAAGTAGGCAAATAACTTTGATTTTACACAATAATGAACATACATCTCTGTTGTCTTTAGCAAACTGTTCTTTCAGGTCTCCAACAGCAATAGAATTTCCTTTTTTTAATTCTTGGCACATGTTGCACACTTCCTTTAAAGAAAAAAATCTTTACCAGCACTGATACTAGGTATGTAGTCAGAATTAATAATACAGTCTTAACGGAATTTCAAAAATTGTTGGTGGTTTAAAAAAGAAAGATGGAAAAATTCAAATGAACCTTCTCATGCAATCCAGCATTTTCTAATTGTAATTCTGAAACAGCGCCACAAAATAAAGACATAAATACCAGTAGCGTCCATCGTACCATTTCTCTATATATTACTTTTTACAAAATATCACTGCAAAAAAAAAGCATCGAATTATAAAACTGTTTAACAGATTATAAGAAGAAATATTGTCAAAAAGTTATAAGAGTAAAATTTGGTAAGAAAAAAGGTACAAGAAACAATTATTTGCTGAAGAAACAACTTATTACATGAGGATGTCTATGATCTGCCAATTCATTCAACCAAACCTTTATACATTTATTCCAATAACAGCAGCCTATAAATAGTGGTAAATACTTAAACCCTTATTCCTGATAACTGAGACACCAAAGGAAGTAATTTTGAAATTTTTTTTGTCCAGTTGATAACAGCCAAAAACATCTGATAAAAGAGGAAATACCGAAAAGTTTAATTTAGCTTTTTATTATCTGTTCAATTTAGATGCCGTAAATTACTATATTAAAATTTTTCATTTAAAAAAATTGGTTTTTTTTTCTTTGTAGCCATCGATGGTATTGAGAATTAAATGGAATTATGTCAATGAAATACTAAAGCCGTCAATGAAAAAACGAGTAAATGAAACATGGGAAAGTCGAAGAACTGTTGAGCTGTGGAAGGTAAATACCAAAAAAGACATCGATCAGATTCGACCAGTAGACTTCAAGTAACATTTATCAATTGAATAGGGAAAGAAGAAAACCGCAGAAGGTATGGCAACAGAGACAGAAGATGATTTTTTGTTATGATATTGATGCAATTATGATGCAACAATGCTGATTAGTTTAGCGTTTGACTCAAAGAACAACGACCTCCATAAAATCAGATGGAGATATTGATAAAAGAAAGGAAAAACAACGCTTTGTTCTTTTTTTTTTTTTTCAGTCGGGTCAACGGACCATCATCTTATCCTTTGGCTTGTTAAAAGTAACAAAACGAGAAAAAAAATTATGTAGAAAAACGAAGAAAAAAAGAAGGAGACACTTATAATAAAGACACCATAAATGTACAGTATATGAATCTTAACCATCCAACTATACACCATTAGTTTGGGCCAATTGTCCTTGTTTTTCCTCGTCTTTGTGTTTGTGTCTGTTACTGTGGTTAAATTAAGAAGTTTTTGTTAGTAAATGATAAATCTATTTGCTATATGTCACTGATATTATCAATGTTAGTCAAAAAAAAAAGAAGACAAGATTAAATTATGACATTCAATTGTTGAAGAAATTACATTGATATTATATAATTAATATTCGGAATACTATCCCTCACTTTTTTTCCTGACCTCAGTAAACAGTTCTATCAATAAACAGATATTGTTAAGCAACACTGAATTGTTAAACCCATATTTACAATACAATTACCAATGTTTTCTCG